TACAAATTGGTTGTTACAAAGTAGTTATGGGATGTAGGTTTTATAGCATAAGGAATATAGTCAATAATATTGTAATAACTGTGTATGGTGTCAGATGGGTAGTAGATTGTTAGGGTGATAGATGGGAAGGGTTTAGGTGGCAGGGTGCAAAAAGGTGAAGGGATTAAGAAGTACAAATTGGTAGTTACAAAATAGTCATGGGGATATAAAGTAAGGCCTAGGGAATACAGTCAATGATATGGCAATAACTATGTATAGCGCAAGGTGGGTTTTAGGGGGATTATTTCTTAAACTATATAAATATCTAACTACTATGCTGTAGACCTGAAATTAATATAAACTAATATTGAATATCAACTGAAGCTGAAAAGAAATTTTTAAATGATATAAATTTACAGTTAAATAAATCATGTTAAAAACAAAGGTAATAAGTATTCTACGTTCATCACTTCCTGATTATTTTACTATTTTCTTGGCTCTAAGGTTATTTCTATCTTTTATATCTGTACGGTGGAAATACTATATGATAGTGTGCTGTTGCACACCTCTTTCCAGCTTCACATTTGGTGAGCTCACGTGGGTAGTTTGAAATTGACCATGTTGGTGGCATTTACACTTTGTAAATCACCAACACTGCAAATCAGGACACGCCCGTCCCGCTGCAGAAAGTGGGCATGTTTACCAGCACATCCTGAGAGACTCTGTCAATGATGAAATGCTCTGAGTATAATTCTCGACAGTCAAATCATTGGCAATTAATTTACAGAAAAAGAGACTATACATCATATACATGCATCGGCAGTCACAGCCTAATTACAATATTAACAGTATGAGCTTTTCATTCTACAAAGTGTCCCAGTTTAGATGATAAATTACATGGTTAATCTCCTTGTAGCTTAGGCTTCCTCGCCCTCAGCACTATTGATATATTGGGCTGGATAATTCTTTGTTGTGGGGATTGTCCTGTGTATTGTTAGATGTTTAGCAGCATCCCTGGCCTCTACGCTCTAGTTCATGAAACCTCACTTCCCCCAGTTATGACAACCAAAAATGCCTCCAGGTATTATAAAATGACCCCCGTGGGACAAAATCACCTCTTCTGAGAACAACCTAGGTACAGTGTACGAGTAAAAACAACCTAGATACAGTGTATAGGTAAAAACAACAACAATAATAGTAATAATAGTAATAATAATAATTTTCTCTGGTGCCAAAAGGGAGATTATTTTTCTTTTCTTAGATTATTTTCTTTATGAAGTCATTGTAAATTCTTTAATTTGTAAGTCTTTCACAATAAAAAGCTAAAAAAAAAAAAGTCTCTTACCAATTTTAGTACCCAGGAAAGTTTTTCCTAAGGGCCTTGAAGCCCTCTCTTTGAACTAAAAATATCAAGATAGCACCCAATCTCTCTGTCTCTGTGGGAGCTGACCCTCAGTGCCTGGCTTCTGCTTGTCAGAAAGATATATGACATTTTATTTTCCATCCGATAAGGACAATTAGCTAACACAAATGTCACACCAATGTCAAATTAATGTAGGACGAACTACGTATGTAGAGCAAATGGTTCTGTCATGTCATCTCACGGCAGCCCTAGGAAGTGAATGCATCTTTCTATATACTATATAGCTGCTATGTATTTCACTTTTTATTGTTCTTATTGCTTATTGCTTGTCTACCTCCTGCCACTGACTTGTCACCAACCGGAAGGCAAGCATCAAAGGAGCAGAGATCTTGTTCATCGTTATATCCCAAGCACCTAGAAGAGTGTCTGGTACACAGTAGGTATTCAATAGCTATCTGAATAAAATAATCCTCATATACATTTCTTCCTCATTTAATCATTTTAGTTGCTCTTTGTGCATTTCCCAGTTTTAATTTTTTTTTTAAATTTAGTGTTTTATTATGCATAGTAATGGGCAACGTAGCTAGCAGGAATAATTTAACTACTAAAATTCAATTTAACATCTCTTCCTGAATTAAATATTTTTAAATAATTGTGAAAAGTAATGAGGTTAGCTGTTTATAATTTCATCTCCAGTTATTTCCCCTTGCCTTGTTTTGTGAAGATGCTGTGTAACAGGTAATCAAGTCAGACACCAGGAGAGAAAATAGAAAAAAAAGTTAGATAAAAAAAAAATTAGGTAAAATTGAGCAATGGAGAGTTGATTGAACATAAATATTTTAGCTCACTAAGCAAGTCTCCATGGAAGAAATTATTATTCATAATAATCTTCTAAAACCATTAACCCCCTTTTTTTAAAAAATTTTTATTGGGGAATTGGGGGATGGGAACAGCGCTGGGGAATTGGGGGAAGGGGAACAGACAAGTTGCTGTCCTTTTGTTCTTCAGTCTAGTTGTGGAGGATGTTGCTTCACTGGCCCAAGTTGGCACCATCATTGCGCTCTTCCCAGGCGAGGCAGATCAGTCTGGCTTTTGGACGGCTGCTCACAGCGGCTGCTGGCCGCTCACTCTGGCTGCTGGCTACATACGGTAGCCCATGGCAACTCACTGCAGCAATGGCTGCAGCCTACGCTGGCGACTCACGGCATCCCAGCTCCAGGTTGAGCTGTTGTTCAGCATCTTAGCTGTGGAGGGCAGTGTCACTGGCCCTCATATGTGGGATCCGAACTGGGGCACATCTGGCGTCCCAAGCCAGTTCTTAACCAACGCGCACTCGGCCGGCCCCATTAATCCCCTTCTTAATGACCTCTATCCACCAACCCATTCAAACTTCTCAGGTTTAAATTATTAAAAACATTTAGTCATTTCTGGTTAGAGAAGACAAATTGCTTCCTTTGAGTTCAATAGTTTAAGAGCCCCAAATTAGTTTATCCAGTTTAACTAAACTCATCTATCAGCAACAATAAAATGTGTGAAGTTTGACAGTTATTGTACATTTGCTAATGTAAGTTAAACAGGGTAAAATACCTCCCCTTATATCTATATTTGACCTTATCAGTGAGTTTTTTTTTCCCCCTGTTTAGCCACTAAAGTGAAACCTTGATATTGATTGCCCTGGTGGAAATGAAAATACTTATTGCTTTGAAATAAGAGGTCGTTCGTCAGCTTTGACCTTTTTGGTTTTGGTCAGGGTGAGACAAGAGACTTGAATCTAAGCCTTGAAAAGGGAAGAAGGTTTTAAATCACAAGAGTTTTGTTTTCCAAAAGCAAACTTTGATGTTCCCAACATAGTTTTACTGTAAACCGTAGTGCAGAGAAAAATGAAGATATTATCAGAAGGGGGACATTCTTGGTAGGTAGAAAGAAGCAGAAGCCTTTTGAATTAAAAGGAGAGGGAAAGAAAGAGAAAAGCAAATGGAAACCAAAGTTTCTTCCCTTTTTCTATCTGCTATCATATAAAAACTTGAGGAGGACATGCATATAGCACCAGAAAGATCAGAGGGAAGCTAAAAGCATATGGGGCTTGTCCACAGTGTCATATTTAAAAATCTAGAAAGGGACTGAAAATTAGAGTGCTTTTGCAGTAACATGAGGTAAATATGACAGCACAGATGTGGCAGTTTAGTGTTTGAGTAGAGAAAGCCCGAGTAATCCCATGTTGCCTGTCTCAGTTTATGGCAACCTATATGAGGAACAGAATTTCCTAAGTTTCTGCAGAGTTCTTGGAGATGAGTTTAAAGTTCCTGATTAGTCCTCAGACTTGGCAAGGGAAACACCCCACTGAATAGATAGCCTAGGCTAAGAACAAAATGGAAGATATAGCTGGGACTCAGAGTAACCGCAGTCAATGAGTTTACAACTGACAGTGTCAGCATGGGTGGGGGATTCTGGAGCCAGACTTTCAGGCCCTGACCTTGCTGAGAACAGACCATACATTATACAGCACAGGTAGAGACTGATGCAACATGGAGACCAGGCAGGAAGATGACTGTACTGAACTGGAGTTCAGCAGAGGGAACCCTGTGGACCAATGCCATTTTCAGTTTCTTCTACATGCAGACATCATCTAGGGAAGGAGGGGAGGGGACCAAAAAAACCCCCCATCAAGATTTTAGATTTTCAATTGATTAAATAACTACCAGGATTACATATTATTTTCAAAGTTAAAAAGTTTGTTTTGTTGTTTTCTCTTATGAACAAAAATCAACACAGGGGATTCTGGTTAAATCAGTTATAGGAACTGAATAAAGACAGCAACATCATTTTGCACATTTTTGAGCCACATGTGCAAAATTCAATTATTTTCAGGGACTCGCTTCTTTAAAAAACTTGCTAAAATGAACAAAAAGTTCCACTTGAAAAGATTAACCTCAGTTAGATAAGATAGCATATGAGACCTCATGATAGCATACGAGTACTGAAATAGCATAAAATACATTAATCATTCTATATCCTGGCCAAAAAAAAATGAACTGACTTATTTTTTCCTGTGGACACTTTAAGTATTCTTTCAAATTATTTAATGCTTGGAAATATAGACACCATTTATACTTTACACTTTAGAATATAAAATATGTATATGAAAACAACCTTTATTTGATAGTATTAATGTGGTATAAGCCTGGAAAAGATTTAAAATCTATTTTTATTTGGTAAAATTAATTGTGTATGATGAACACAATGGGGATAAATCGACACTTTGACCAAGTATCAATAATAGGAAATATGCATTCTTCTGTAGGATTTCCAAAACTGCATCCAATGTTTACAATTATAATCATGGATTGGGCATACATCTGTCCTTTAGTTATGATTTGTTGGGCATACTAAATATTTTCTGTATTTTCACAAAGTAAACATGAAGAAGCTTATGAAGTGGAAGTGAAGATAAATAGATAAAACATATTCATCACATTTGAAATTAAACATTCCTCAGGAAAAATATTTTTGCTTATTATAATTTTGAACCAAAATACTGAGTTAGTAGATAGAACTTTTATTTTTTAAAAAATTACAACTCATTTGTTTACAAAACAAGATGAAACAAAAGGTAATGTAATTACTTTTTAAAATGAAACTAGATTGGATTGACACTGACTTCATACAACTAAATGAATTCATTGTACTATAACATTAAAATTATCTTTCATATATGATGAACTGACATTCAAATCTACAACCCTTATACATAATGCAAATTCCATAAATTAACAAAATTTGTTTGTTATACATACACACTTATCATGAATATATTTTTGATGATCCAAGTATTCTTTTTTTCTTCAATCTTAGTCAATTAAAAAAATCTATTTGTGGATATTTTCTTTAATATGACATTTGTTTATTTCAGAAATGAAAAGAACTCATTCCTGAAGTGACTATCAGACCAGCACAGAGGCCTTCGTAGACTACCAAATTTAACTCCTTAAAAAGTGAACTCAAGCATTGGTTCTTTCCTTGGTAAACAAGCAGTGAGATTTATGACATTCGAAGACAGTTTATAAGGGACATTAAATCAGCTTTGATCCCATTGTTAAGAAATCCATATAGGATTGGATTAAGACAACAGGACATCATGCCTAACAAATGACAAATGCAGTACACCAACTTGAAATGCCTATTTGAAATAAGATTATCATTAAAATCAGTTACCACATGGAAAAGGTGTAGCGGCATCCAACTCAGGGCAAACACTAATATCAACACCGTCAGTCTGTAGAAAACACTCCGAGATCTCTTTTTTATTCTCATGATAGAACGGTTTACTCTCATTTCATGAGCATCTGAATTTTCTTCAGGTTTCATCTCAAAGCAAGTGGGGACCCCTGGGATGAACTTACTGGAAGAAAAGAGCTGACTTTTCACAGGACCGAAGTTTTCTGGAAGTGTTCTTGAATGATTCTCTTGAGGAGGTCTTGCTGGTGCAGGTAACACACAGGCTGACTTCTTGCTGTATCTTCTCCTGTGTTTCCTGATGAACGAATAGCTCCATTTATGGCCGTTGGAGAGTTTTACCTGAGGCCCGCTCTTTTTGGATGGATGAAGAGTTAAGTTGATCATCTCATTTTCTTCTAGTTTGTTTTCTTGGTTGGACAATCCACAGCTTATACTCCTGCAGACACTGGTATGACTTACAGTTAGACAAACTAAGGGCAGAATGTACTGAACTAGCAATAAAGATATAGTAAAAGCAATTCTATATGAATCAGATGGCCATGATTCAACACATAAGAACCTGCTGCTCAGCAATGCTGAGCCAAATGTCTCCTGAAGTTCCACAAGACTGTGAAACACCGGAAGTGGAGAACAGATCGCAAAACCTAATGTCCACACAGTAGCTATCAGGAAGTAGCCATGGTTCGCTGTTAGGTTATTAGAGATTGGATGCTTAATCATATGATACCGGACAATGGCAATTGATATTAAAATTAAAGTTGAAACCAGGACTGACACACATTGAAGGAAAGGCATCACGTGACACATGACTCTGCCAAACATCCACTGATCCAGCAAAACAGAGGTCAGGGTGAAAGGTGAGCAAAACAGCACAACCAAGATATCGGAGAAGGCCAAATTTCCGATCAGGAAGTTTACTGTGGTATTCTGATTACGCTTTCTCATGAGAGCCATTAAAATAAGCAGATTCCCCATAAAACCAAGAAGACTTACAAATGTATAGAGTCCAATCAGAAAATACTGCAAGTCGTCTACACTGCTTTTATAGTCATCCCAGGCGGGGAAATCGGAATTCCGAGGGGCAGCGGTGCTGTTCTCTGTAGCAAGTGTCTGGTTATAATAATCCGTGAGCTCTAAATCCATAGTATAAGCCTGCTTAGAATAAAAGGACATTGGTTAACAACTTGAAAAAAAATTACATGACTACTGTAAATTAATTGACTGAGAAGGAAACTACATTTTACAATTTGCTCTCATTACCTTATTATTCTCCTAAGTTTTGTAAGGTTCTTTATTGGTTCCAAGGGCAGTGCAAATATCATCAGCCAGTAACAATTATAGTAAGTTTAAGTCTATCATCATTTTCATGGTGTGTTAACGTGTTAAAATAGCAGATTTTGTTTTTTAAATTTATGTAGGAAATAATGTTAGGGAAGGAAGAGACAAATGGACATAAGAACTTCCAGATACCTACTTTACAATAGCTCTGGTCAACGTACCTGGCACATGGTGTAGTCATATACTCTTACCTTAAACATTCCTTCCTTTCCTACTTGAATCGAAGCCAAACTTAAGAGCCACCTATCCTAAAGTATTCCTTGGTCTACTCAATTGGATGTTATCTCCTCTTGTGAACCCCCATGAAACTGTGTTTATCAAATTGTCTGGTGCTAGGTGTCAGTCTGTTTTGCATTACAATTATAATGCATACCATCTACTTTATTTATTTATAAGCACTGGGGAAAAGCAGAAACTGTCCCTTACTCATGGTATCTACCATAACACATGGCACAGTAAGTTTACCATAGCAGATGTTAAATAAATACTTATGGGAAAATGAAAAAAAATTCAAACAAAAATTTAGCATCCTCAGTATTATCTAGTTCATGCAATGTTCAAATTAAACGTTCTCAAGTGTAGAAACACTATCTCAGGACCTAGGTGTGTATAGTAGGCACTCAATAAATGTTTATCTACTTGTACTGTTGACTATGTGAACACAACGCTGAACTTGGCAAAGTCATTCCATGATCAATCCTCAGGCCTTTGAGATTTGCCAGATTATTGTGGATAAAAGCAACCACAGACCAGCAGCAATGCTGCTCGTGTTTCTAAAACCAAAATTTACTTGTTTGATTTTTAATTTAAAACTTGAAAACAGATTTTAACTTTAAAAATGCTCCATAAATTCATATTATTTAAGGAAAGTATTATATCTTAAAGTTAAATGTAGAAGTGATACTAATATAACACCTTGTAATAAGTTTTTCATTTCAAAGGAAATGAATAATGTAATACTATTAATACCACAATGGTATTACTTCTTACTGCTGTATACTAGAGATTTGACAGTATTTCCTGATGAAGCACCAAACTGCCTATATTAATAAGGTAAAAGAAACCTCTCATCCCTTTTAAAAAGTAAGCACTCTTATTTTTTAACAAAATTTTCCTACAGTATACTCAGGACAGCAATAGTTAATTAATTTTGATGAATACACGTTGTTACAGAGATCCTAATATGTATGTTGTTTAAACATTTTTTTCAGTCCATATCAATATACATTTATCTACCTATTTCTAGATCTATAGTTGGATCTATAGTTAAAACTATGAAAACACTATATATTTAAATTAATAGTAAACAATACTATCTTCAGTTTATAAGGGACTTATAGGTCCTGATTCAATAAATTTCCAAACTGGAAATCCTGTTGTGTACATACATTCATTCATTATAAATAACTTTAATTCCATTTCATATACAGCAAGTTTCAATATGGCACCATTGTGCTAGGAGAAAATTTGAAAGTTTTTTTCCACAACTTCCACAAATAATTCTAGGTTGATTGAATTACTTTCTGAAAGCTAATGACATCCTTTTAAAGATAAACAAATTCAGAAACTCAGGATCTTATTCATTTATTCTTAGACCCAACCAAAAATTTGCATTGAGGGCCGGCCGAGTGGCGTGATGGTTAAGAACTGGCTTGGGATGCCAGAGGGCCCCGGTTCGAATCTCACATATGAGGGCCAGTGACACTGCCCTCCACAGCTAAGATGCTGAACAACAGCTCAACCTGGAGCTGGGCTGCCCTGAGTCGCTGGCGACGGCGTAGGCTGCAGCCCCTGTGGCAGTGGGTTGCCATGGGCTACCATGTGTAGCCAGCAGCCGGCGTGAGCGGCCAGCAGCCACTGTGAGCAGCCGTCCAGAAGCCGGCGACTGATGTGCCTCGCCAGGGAAGAGCGCAATGATGGTGCCAACTTGAGCCAGTGAAGCAACGTCCTCCACAACTAGACTGGAGAACAAAACAACAGCAACTTGTCTGCTCCCTTTCCCCCAATTCCCCAGCACTGTTCCCATCCCCCCAATTCCCCAATAAAAATCTTAAAAAAAATTTTTTTTGCATTGGTATTACCTCAAATTAGAAAGGATAAGTGGTACAAAAGTGACTCTCATGGCCTACTGAATCATCTTATCACATTACTAATCAATGGCCTCCCTGCAAATACCCTGGATAGGTCAGGGAGCTGCTAATGAAAGCAGCCTTGATTGCCCTTCCTGCTTAATTTCATGAGGTCTGATGGCCCCCTAGCTCCATTTAGCTTGTCCAAGATCCTATATATACATTTATAATAGTCACACGCTATTTGTTATTGTGATCCTGCTTAGTTATTCTTTTGACTCACTTTCTTGAAATGATCCCTTTTTGTTGTGATCACTAGTTACTGACTGCCTTATCTACTACCAAGGTAAGGGAGGAGAAACATCATATAGTTAATTCTACAATGACTTTGTGCAGTTTGGGGACATGCAATTGTAGGATGACACTCATTTCGTATAAAATATTACTATCCAATTTTCTTGAAGAGGAAATGCTGCAAAGTTTGTGGTAATAGAAGCAACAAGGTTTTAAGTCTGAAGTTCAAACTGCCTCTAACGTAGGTTGTCAGTCCTCTCTATTAGGCACCAATGGAGATAACAGAAAATAGACAGGCTAACTTGAGGTCAAGATTGACCTTTGTCAAGGAAGCTACAGGCCAAGGATGTGACTGACTACCCACCAGGACTGCTTTTAGCAATTTTTATGTTCAGACCATCCTATGTAGTTAATTTTCGTCTCCGAGTTTGTAGGGCCTGCCATGCTGGCCTCTCCTGAGCTTGTCAGGTTTAATATGTGGCCCCTTTTCCATCCACATTAGGAAAATTTTATCCAATCAGATTTAAGTGTTCTGGTTTTTTTTTTATTTGAAATTGAAGATAGGGGAATCACTTTAAAATGAAAGACAAAAGAAGCCCAAAGGATTTCTTTCCTTAAACTTACCCCTTTACTTCCTTTTTCCTGAAAAGCACAATAAGCAAACCTATAATGAAAATGGAAATAAGTTTAATAATTGTCTTTTAACAAATGTTAGAATGAATGCTGTATAATTTTATACAACATATTTTATACATAATAAAAGTAATGTTATATGTGAACTTTTCTTTATCTCAGATAACTAGACACATTATGAAATATAACCAAAGAGAGAATGTTTTAAAATTACATATTATTTGAGAAGAAATTTGATAGTGACTGTGTCAAACCTTTGTTTTGCTTGAACATGAGGTTTTGTTCTCTTTTGTATCTAGTTTTATTTCCCACCATCTGAATTACCAGGCTGAAACATCAAAATTTAACCCCCTGAGTAAACAGTGAAAAAAAAAATTCTTCATCAAACTGTGCTTATTGTCATTTTTAAATAAAACTTGATCTATATCTGACACAATGACAAATGAAATCTGAGTAGACTTGGAGTATATTAAGTAGATAGTTCTTAGGATAATAGGAGAAACTGCAGGGAACTCAAAGGATACTAAGAGACTGAGCTTATACATTTAAATGACGTTTCTTTATTAGGAAAATTTCCTGCCTAATGGAAATGCACATCTTTCTTTTCACAAAGGATGACAATCACACAAAAGAATAAAATACATGTTATTTTTTTCCCTCTAGCAATGATGAAATATCAACTATTGCCTCTTTTGCAGTGATCCTGGAACAATGGTGAGATTCCAGGTTCTCAAATATTCCCATGATTTATTTTTAAAGCCAGAATCTGGCAAAATTTGAATGGGAAAGATAAATACTGCTCTGCTGTTCCACTGACAAACACAGGCACGCGCCACCCTCTCTTCTCCAATTCTAACAGCCGAGTTTGTCTTCCCTTGAGAAATCAGAAATTTAAAATTGCATTCGGACTGCAAAATTCTGCTGAGAGCGCTTGAGGCTATTTCCATGGTCTATATGGCAACGACTTGGGGCTTCGATCCAACACGATGGTTCAGTTCCTTTAACAGATAAACTAAAGGTCGGTAAACTTGGGGACAGAACTGCCCTATCGCTGGAATTCGCTGTGTGGATGTATGTTATTGCTCGCATTTGTTATGAGGCCACCTTGCAAATAGGAGCGCAAGCCCAGGGGCTCAGCTGCCTCCGGGTCTCCCGCCAGTTGCGGGACCGCGCGGCAGTTGGACGCCCCGAGTGGAGCCCAGTGCACTGAACCCCTGAGCCTCGCCGGAGTCGGGCTGGGGCTGAGCACTGGCCCGGGAAAGCCCGCGGGCTGCCGTCCCCAGCCTCGAACGCCAGCGTGGCTGCTCCCAGGGCTCGTCCCGCCGAGAGGGAGCGCTTTGTCCTCTCGGATCCCCCACCCATCCCCTCCCTTCCAGGCTCCAGCGCGGATCCCGCACGCTCTCCCCCCGGGTCCGACCCGTGCCTGCTCCACCCAGGTGAGTACCTGCCCCGCACCAAAGAAGTCCGCCGGGTCCCTTCCCGCTCTCCCTTTACGCCTAATAATCGCCTGTTCTGCCACCCAAATCCCCACTTTTCCAGCCGAGCTGCCTTCGGCTTCCCCACCCCGCCTGCTCGGGAGCCCCGAAAACGCCCGCGGCCCCGTGTGGACTCGCCCTTCCCTGCAGGCCCAGCCCCGCGCAGAAAGGGGCAGCGGGGAGAGGCTGAACCGCGTACCTCGGGGTGCCCTGGCCGCTGCCTGCGCCTGGGCTCCCGGGAACGTGGCCGAGCGCGGTCGCTCCTACGCGCGGGCGGCGGTGGCTGCAGGAGGAGACCTGGAGGTGGCAGTGGGGAGGAGGGAGTGGGGAGCCGCGGGGGTTTTAGAGGTGCCTCGGGAACACGTGACTGCTCCAGCGACCCCCGAGACCCTGCTCCAGGGCGCCTGCTCCGCGCCGGCCTCTCCCCAACACCGGGCCGGGGCACCCCAGCTCCTACCTTGCTGTGGGTGCCCCAGGGAGAAGCTGCAGACCCCCAGGATGGCACCCCGTCACCCTGGCCGAAGCCAAGTTAACTTGATGAACAGGAAGCTACCTGCCCATTCTGACCCCAGCTGGGTGAAGTGAACTCGGAGGAGTATTGAAATGGTGTGGGGTTGCGGGGGTATCTCTAAGAGCTTAGGCTCCCCGAGAAAAAGCTGTAAGGCCCAGGTTTCCACTTTGCTCGGAAAAAAAAAAAAAAAGACCAAAACAGAACATTGCTCTATCTTACACCTTTTTGGAGTGAGGAAAGGTGACATCTAGGCACCAAGGTTGACCTGAATGTGTAGGGGACACAAAGGCGGGGATGTGCCACGCACAATGGGGAAAGGGTTTATTCCCACTGCTTAGGAGTAGTAGTTGTGGGGGTGGGCAAGCGTAGAGCTGGGGAGTGAAGATGAAATGGAATCAACGCTTCTCAAGACTATACTCAATGACAAAAAGACGATGAGGGAGTAAAAAAGTGATGCCATAGATTTAAAACGACAAAGAAAAAACTATAAAACTTGTCCTCCTGTTTCTCCTCAACGTGATTTCCATCCCCAATGATGGTTTGCCTTATTTTTAATCAGTGTGTGTGTGTGTGTGTGTGTGTGTGTGTGTGTGTGTGTGTGTGAGAGAGAGAGAGAGAGAGAGAGAGAGGAAGAGAGAGAGAGATGTCTTTGACCATAGCATGCATGATGAAGGGTGTATTTATTGTATACTTGAAAACTGAAAAAACGATTAACTGACAGTCATAGCACGTGTCTCTGGTGATGAGTGCAATTCTGTGGGGCTGGAATTCTGTAAACTGGAGAGGACCCTGTCCTTTTTGGGAGCCATATGACTTGTAAATCTAATGTCTGTTAACCCAGGAGTCAGAAAAAATTCCTGTGCTATTTTTCTGCTGAATTTTAGCATTTGATATTCAGATGATCTGCATAGATTGTCATTATATCAGAGAGATAGCTTTTAAATACCTCTAGTGAATCCAGTTCCTATTTCATTGTTTTTTGTTTCTGTACTACTAGTATATTCTCCCTCAAATTTGAACACAGTAAGTAACCTGAGCAGGCCCATGGGATTCTGCAGTGGGAGAGGGGAGGGATTAAAGTGTGGAGAAGGAATAATCAGTGAGAAAACAAGGCTTCGTTCTTAAACTTTTGTTAACTCCAACGCCTGTGTAGTTAGTGTATTATATTGCCACATAACTTCCCATTCTTCCATCTCTTGCACAGTTATAATACACACCAACTTCAAATACACATTGGCTTTAAAACAACTTTCAAAGGAATCCCATTGTAACAATCTTCCAAAAACATATGCTATAAGTGTTGTATATTAAAAATACAAGATCAATTTTATTTTTTCTTTTCCACAAATTTGCTTGTTCTTTTGATGACATGAATCTTTAGGTTGAAGTAACCGTTATTAGGGTGTTAAAAATCATCAACACGTCATTGAGATGAAGATTTTGATGAACTCAACGTGTTCTTTCCCACCACACACAAAACATGCAAATCTCAAAAAGGGAGTCAGAATTTCTTCTTTATATACATACTTGATGTACACAGAGTGAAAAAACATATATTAAGAATACTTTTTTGGGGGAAGAAACTTTCATTTTGAAAATCCCAACACTATGCTATGTAAAGAGGAAGATATGAAGATGCATATATTTTTATCTTCAAATTTCCCAGGGAGGATTCAAGACTCATCATCATCACTCTTTGTAGAACCTAATGGAGTCATTTTGTTCTGTTTTATGGAGTAACAGTCAAGCAGGAAGAGTCCTACCTCTGGGAACAGAAATAGTAATGTCCACCTCTGCTGCAATAGTTTTTCTACTATTTATAAAATGCTCATTTGGGAAATTAAGTAGGATTTTATGTGTGTTACAAAATTAAACTGACTGTCTCCCAGTGCTCATGGTTCTTTATCAGTTGTGAAAGATAGCTTATTTATAAAGGTGAAAGTTAAAATCACTTGGGACGCCTAAGACAAATGATTGAATAATAAAGCTCTCCACACAATGCCTGGGATAACATTTCTCTGAGGAACATGTCTGTTGTTTCTGTCAAAGTTATTGCTGCATTTTAATAACTACCATTTGTGGAGGACAGTTACTAAAATGCTTTGGTATAATCTCAAATGATCTGTGATCTTGATGTATTAGTTACAGGAATAGTGGGCATATTAGAGAAAATAGAGAAAATAGTATTACTTTATTTGACGCATTTTTTCCCTGTGAGGTTATTATTATTATTATTATTATTATTATTATTATTATTACTAAGAGGAACATTTCTTTACCACTGTGTCTATCATGGTAAAATTAAATCCTTAATTCTTAAAAGATGTGGAAATGGCCATTTCTGAGTGTTATCAAAAATATTTTACAATGCCCATTGCATCAGTGATTTCTTTGGAATAGTGATAGTTTGTCAAATAATCAATATTTAGGACTTAAAACGAGGAATTTGTTTATAATTGTGAAACACATACCATTTTTTATGGAACAAAAGCTGTTTTTGTTTTTTTAAAGCTATGGTTTTAAAAGTAAGCGTGAAGTATTTGTGTGCATAGAGTCATTTTCCCAGGCAATTCAATGATAATTTTGAGGTCCTCAAGTACTATAAACATTTCATTGCCTTTTTCTAACAAGTACTGTGCTACTTAAGCAAAACTTTATATCTTTCCTTTTGATTCGGTAATGATGAAATCATTAAATATAAAGCAGTGACTGATTTCCAGAGAGAATGGGCAGTTCTTTTTTAAAGTAAAATTTCCATGTTAAAAATACGTACACACATATATGTGATGCACATGTATATAGTTTTACAATCACATACGTATTTGTATAAGGGACACTTGTCAGAACACCTGGGTTCAGGCCAGGTTTCATCCCAAATTAAAAGTGTGGCTTTACACAAGGCACTTCATCTTTTTAGTCTTCCCTTTCTTTGTTTGAAAAATGAAATGTTTTGACAAGCAAATTTCAAGCCCTCTTTGAGCTCTGAATACCTATGACTTTATGCCATCAGCAAGCACACATTATAGACATACATGTAGAAAAATAACCTTTTTGGATCTTCAGAAAAATTTAATGGTCATAGAAATTGTTTGTTTTCTCTCCATGTTAGAAAAAAAAGAACTATTGAATTTCCCATTAATACTGGCACATTCTCTTTCCTGCAGCTATAATAATTACATAATGACATTTGATTCATTCTTTTAAAAAGTTGTAGGTGTCTTACAGATCAATTCTTTATTTAATTATATTATTTTTAAAATTTCAGCACACACACACACAAAAATATATATATATAAAGAGAACATTGGGGCTGCTGGTTAGCTCAGGTGCTAAGAGTGCAGGCTTATAGCACCAGGGATGCTTGTTTGATTCCCACATGGGCTGTGGAGCTGCGCCCTCCACAACTAGATTGAGGGTGGCTACTTGACTTGGAGCTGATGGGTCCTGGAAAAAACACACTGTTCCCCAATAAAATTTCTTAAAAAAAAAAAAAGAGAACATGGATTCTTTTGGAGACATAACATTATATCATGTAAACCCACATATAGGCTGTATATTCTTCTCTTTTGTGGATCAAAACTCCTTACAATAAGTGATATTGTTGATAAGTATCTCCCCAACATTGTTTTCTTAAAAATAAAATTTTCATTTCTTAGCTAATTTTTCATGGTTATTATTTTAAATCTAGTTGTAAGTCTAAATATAGCTTTACCCTATTCAAGTGAAAATGAAAGAGTCTATTTATTTTGGGTATATTGTTTTGTTTTGAATAGTCTTTAAACATAATATTTAGAGAAGTGTTCAAAGCGTAAGTCCAGAATCAAAAATTGAGATGGTTGAATAAAATACTCTCTTCAAAAGTGCATCTATTTCCATAGTCTTCCTCTTGTTCTAGTAGGTTACTCAGCTTTTAAAAGTATATTATTCAGCAGGTAGACAAAGATATGAGACATTTCCTCTGTTAGACATTGTATGCATTTTCAAAGACAGTATGGTCCTTTATTCAAGCATACATCTAATGGGGGAAGCAGAATCAACACATAAAAAATCCAAGAATATGAGAAGGATCATCAAAAGCAGTTAGTATAATAGTATGTGTATATCTATGTATAAAATGCACACATGGATACCGGCATTATGTGCAAGTAGAAAAATAGGAATAATCCACCATAGCTAAAATGCCAAAGACATTTTTTTAAATGTTTGAGATGAATGACTGGGCTTGATTTGTGATACTCATAATTGATGTAATCGTACCTTACTTTTTGTTCTTTAATCCTTCAACACGACTTTTTTCAGTATCTTATGGTATGCCAGATGCTATTCTAGGCTCTAAGTTTGAAGAGGTGAAAAAAGTATTCACTGCCCTCCTGTGATCTCAGTGTAATCGTAGGTCTGTGGAAGTAAAGAGTAAATGCAACATAGTGTGACAAATTCTGTGATACAAACTTAGAAAGCTGTAGGAATAAACACAAGACAAACTCAGCTTATGGAGGATTTGGGGAGATGGGGAGACATAAGAGAGGGCTTCACAGTTGAGAAGACACTTGTGCTGGAATGGAAGGAACTGGTGAGAGAGAAACCAGCAGATGGAGGGGGTGGGCAAGATACAAGTGGGGAAATCGTGTGAATGTGAGAGAGGATAACACTCAGAGAAGTGCAAATAGTTCAGTATGACTGAAGTGTGTGGGAAGTGGTGGAGGACGACACTGAAAATGTTGGTTTCAAGGGACATTGCACTTTACTTAAAGGCTCTTGAGAGAAACTAGACAATTTGAACTGTGGAACGATATAACTGGATTGCTGTGAAAGCAGCTAGTGGCAGACAGACCACTGAGTAGAGAAATAAGAGAGCTTGATGGATGTGAAAGAACACATTTGAATGGTACATAAGGAGTAAAATGAATGGGGATCTGTGCCCAGTTGAATTTGAGGGTGTGAGACAGGGAAATACTGGGGACAACTCTTAGATTCTGGCTTGCAGGACAGAAGTGATGACATTGATTGACATTCAGTCCACTATCAGAAGCACATTTCCAAGGAAATGTGAAAGATCTGTACTTTAGGTAGGCATTTAGGGTTAGGAGCATACAAGCATATAATTGATGGCAGAGGGTATTGTTATGCATTAAGAGTGGGGGAGAAAAAAAGAAGAGTAAGAATGAAATCTCCAGCAAATTTGGGCAATTCAGAAGAGACAGAACCACAGAAGGTGGTAACATAAAAGCTTTATCTGGGTGGTCTTGGGCAGGATTCCATGACAGGGGAAGTCTCTCCTAGCAAGAGACCTCCCAGAGACAACATGTGGAACTACCCAGAAGGAGGATAGGACAAGGGGACTCTTAAGAGGGGGAGGGAAAAATAGGAGGGTAACTTTCATATCGAGGTGATATAACTCAGCAGCAAGGTGGGCAGACTTGAGGCAGAGAGTTCCAAAGGACAGCTGCAGATTGGTGTATTTCATGGCTACAAGGTTTGTATTATCTATGGCTAACAGATGATGGGTGCAATTTCTCAGGGTATATGAAGTTGATAAGCTCTAACTGGCTAGTATATATATATATATATATATATATATATATATATATATATATATATATATATATGTATATATGGACTATGTATATATGTATATATATGGACTATTTTTAAAGCAATCAGATGTGTGAGAATTTGAGAGTTTGGTGCTGTCTAGCTTTAGGCTAATAGGCCTAGCCTGCTGTGACGAAGTAAACAATATGAGACCATTTTAGGCTAATATACAGGTGCCATCTCTGGCCCATTTATGTAATAGGATCCTAAGAAGAAAACCACCTCAGAGTTAGATAGAGATGGCAGATCCTGGGGGAGAGGACTGAGGAGCTGCCAGTAAGGAAAGAGAAAAGCCTGAAATGTAGAGTTAGTGAAACCAAAGGAAAATATAATTCCAGAAGGACAGGATGGTCAAGAGAGTCAAATGTAACATAAAGAATAAGTACAATAAAGTCTGAATTGTGTCCACTGGCTTTGGTCATTGGTGTTCTGGGCAGAAGCAGTTTCAGGTGGCCATATCTGAGGAGCAAATAAGAGGATAGAAATTTACCTCATTCTTGAAGCTACCAGGTAAGAGAAGACAGCCAGAGGAGCTATGAGAAGCCAGAGAAGATATGACATGGCTGAGGGAGTTAAAATGAGAAAGAGTGAGCAATTTTGCTTCTGTTTTTACTTTAATGTTAAGCTAATAAAACTGAATTCATTAATAAACAGGTGTTATTGTTGTTTAATAAACCTCTCAAAACTTAGTGGAATAAAACAACAACTCGCTCATGAATTTTATGCCCATGGGTTCAGTGAGAGAGCTCAATAGTGATGACTTATCTCTGTTACGTGATGTTTGGGGCATCAACTGGGAAAACTCAGTGGGCTGAGGTGACTCAAAGCCTGGGGACTGAAAGAGATGGGCTGGAGGATCTACTGCTAAGATGAGGGGTGTTAGAGTTAGGGAGTAAACACCCTGTGGCTTTCACCCACTTCAGAAGGAAGGAGGAATCCGTTGAGACTGAGGGTAGGCAGTAGGAGGTTGGGGGAGAGGGGTGACAGTATGAAATATCTTCCAAGAAGAGAGGAATTGGGAGTCACACAAGCCCGATAATTTCTAGGCAATATTAAAGGCTCAACTAAGGTTTTGAATTTGCAGTTACAATAATCTGTGCCGTTGAGTTACTTTCACCTACATCGTATACTCGCAGAGAGTGGTAGCTAAGAAGTTTTCTGGGTTGAGAGGAGTCAGATGGTACCACAGCCATCCTGGGATATTTATCCTCTTTGTAGATGTGTATGTATCTGGGGAAAGAAGAGCAACAGCTAGACTTTAAACAAAGGAATGAAGAAAGGATACGTTCCTAAGCAATCACTTCATACCAGACCACCTCTGTGCCCATTTGTGATGTTATTTAGGTGCATATAGGAATCTTTTTCCTGTTTTTAGGAGAAAACTGCCCTATCTCAGGGATGTGAAACACTTTTACATCCTGGGGCCAAGTCTGATCTACTTAGCTTGGCCACCTGAAGTGCTGGGTTGTGCAAAGTTCTAATGTCAAGCCTGAGATTTCAGAGGTGGAGGTGGGAGTGGGGCAACACGAACAGACAGAGATGTATGTCACAGATGATGGAAGGTTCAATGGCAGCATTCTTACTTGACCTTCTCACCAGGGATTCCTACTCCATCTCTTTCAAAGGAAATATGAAGAGAATAGTAATAATTATAATAATAAACAATAGTAACAATGGCAACTCTCTTTTCATTAGGCAGGCCACAAATACAAAATGTTAGGCTTTTGTAAAATAGCACCACACTTTTGTTGACCAGTGAAAGTGTATCTGACAAGATGAGATCTGGAGAAAAAAATGTTCAGATATATACTAAATAATTTTAAGATCCTAGTCCTTTACAGTCTTATTCTGATGGAGTTTTAAAACAAATGCTCTAAATTTGTAGTCTGTGTAACCAAATGAGAAGTTTCTTGAGTGCATTCCTATTTCAAACCAAGAACAAATCCATAAATATGTGGTGTCTTCCACGTTAGGAATATAATTTAATTGTTTGTCTGTATACTTGTATACTAACACTTTAACTAAATTCATTGTCACTTCCTTCTGCTAGCTCATTTTCTCAAAAAGATAACTGAATAAACTGATTGTACTATTTGATGGAACTAACCAATTCAATTAAAACTCTTTACTTACTATATATCATAGGTTCTAAGGTGAGGGTTGTTTCTTTAACATTTTAATACTCTAACTTTGAGATTCATTTACAATTGATTCTACTCATGTCATTGCTTTACTGAAAGCATCTTTTTCTTTCTTGGTGGTCCATAAAATAACATTGCAACTTACATTCTGTGGTATCATAGATTCAAAAAAATGCAGTAGGTAAGTCACAGAAAGAAGGAAATCTGGCACCTAATTAATTTATAGACTATGAACTAATTCACTAACATGCTGCATAGTAAGTTGCACTCCGGTGGAATTTCATTCTTTTCAATACCATCTACATTCTAGTTTTCTACCTACATTTCTAGTTATATGTAGTGTTAATGCCTATCAAGATTTTTCTGAATGATAATTTATTATAATTTTCCTGTGTAAGGCCTCGTAGCATTTCAGAAGCTTTAACCCTTGCAGCAGAAATTCATCAGGAGATCAATAAAGTAATTGCAATGGATAAATTCCTGTACTAAGTATACTGACACACTTTTATCTAGATGGTTATTAAATCATGGAATTTAAAGGGTCAGACCATAAAGATGTTCCATTTTTAAAAATTTATATGATAAACCTAAAATCTGCAGAGATTTAGTGAGTAGAGCCTAGCCCTCCATTCAGAACAAGACTGTTGCCCAAGAGATTATGAGAATAGGTCATTAATTTAATTCTCCTGGTCATGGTTTATAGGTTAGGCTGTTATGACATTTCTGAAAGAAATACACAAAATGCAAAAAATTATCTCTGCCTAGCAAAGGTTTTATCTAGTTTGAATCCCAAATAGGAAAGTATGTGACTGACTGTTCACTTAAGAGTAGAAAAATCAGCGATCTTCATTTAACACCTATCTTCTCTTTAACATATCTTCTGAGGAACTCAGAGTGCTTTATTTCCAACTTTCCAAGATTATATTATATGAGGATCTTATATTTGGTGATTATACTATTCTTACTTTTTCTCTTTTACACTTTGGAAAGAGTACTTAGTAAATGGTACTCTTAGAGAATTAAATCATTTTGCTATTGTTGAGGAGCATTGCAAAACTTCTCTTTTTACCACAAAATTTGACATAGAAAAAGTCTTTGAGACCAATGATCTTTCAAAGATTGGTATTTGATAGGATTATCTCAAGAATGCAGCTTTATACATTTGCCTTAGAGGGAACGCTTTATAAAAATTAAGTTAATAAGATGACAAAAGACAATAGCCGCAGCAGTTCAGGCGTTCTTGCAGATATGCCTTTATTAGCATTCTTGGAAAATACAGGAAGGAAAAGTATCTAACGAGTCCAAATTATATTTTCAAGAACAAAATATTTGTTGATATAGCAAAAATGGTTACATAAAAATGTGTTCTTCATAGAGAATTACATCATTTGTAATTCTTGCAGCAGGCTAAAAATAGCCAATTTGATGATCAAAAACTTGGGGTAAACTTGCTTCTAAGAACAGAATGTGACTTAAGTGAATTGAGTGGACAGGGGGTGAGTAGAAACCTAAATGAGTTATTGCTCTTTCAAATAACTGAAATTCCTACATTATGTCTTAATTTTCATCCTTGGTAAAAAAAAAAGAAAGGCAAAGAAGAAAAAAGCAAAAGCAAATGTATATGTCATTTTACTCTGTTTATTAACCATTAGTGGACTTTTTAAAATGTATGCTCATATCTATTATTGTAGTACATTGATTACATAATCAGATCTTTTAATACTTGATCATATTGCTTTCCAATTATATAAAAATGTCTAATGACGAATATTTTACAAAGCATTCCTAGGAAATAGAACAGATTGTGTATATCACTGTCTATATAAATAAATGAATGATGGCCTATATTGAGCTTTAAACAGTGTTTATTCAGCCTAACAATCAGGAAAAAACAAAACAAAACAATTCTTAACAGTGTAGAGTTCAGGCAATTCCATCTGTCTTTGGAGCTTTGTTTTGTTTTTAGTTCGAAGACAGAATGCAATCATAGCTGTTATGTAATAAAACCTTTATGCATATCCTAAGCAGTCACCTATATCTTTATTCGAAAGACTTTTTATTCTTTGACAGTTTGATTTGGAAGTTTTATTCGTCTACATCAGTAAATAATGTGTGTGTGTGTGTGTGTGTGTGTGTGGTGTGTGTGTGTGTTACACAACTTGGACTTTTCAAAGTAGAATGGAACTATGTAAACCCTCTGAGATGAGCGGTGTCGTTATTTAGCCTGAATCATCAAGCACCATGATGGTTTGGCCACCATCAGTGTACTCTGTACATTCGATTCTTTTCTTCATAATGTTCTGTGCTGTAGTAGATGAAGTACCGACGAAATGGCATTGACTCTTTGACCACCAGGGAAATGTTCTGATCGTCGTGCTCCCCTAAAAAAGCAGCCAGAGGCTGGGAACAAATCTGACTCAATGCAAAGGAGGACTGAGAGGTCATACTCTCTCACCCGATCGCTACTTTTGTTTTTTTTTAAAGTCTTCTCTTCTGTTTGAAAAGGAGGGGGGGAAAAAGTCGGCACTGGCGTTAAGAGATGCTTGAACGTCACCAAACAAAGCAAGAAACGTACAGTGGAATGTGCCGCCGCGAATGGCCTGTTTCCTCTTCCCGTAAATAACAACCCCCTTCATCCTTGAGTTGGGCTTTCGGTCCAGCTTTTCCCGCCGGGTGTCACTTCGGCCACAAGATGGCACTGACCTGCAAACAAAGGAGAACACAGCGGCACCGACTTTTGAAAGCCTTGTGAAATCATTGCCTTGATTCGCGGAGTCGAGGAGTGTGTGGGGTTGAGCGATTACTTTCCGCTGCACCGTGCGTGTGCGCCCAACAATGTGTGCGGATTCGTTTAATTGCTTGGCTTCCCAGAATTCCTAGGCAACGCACCCCCGAGGTGCACATCCAAGGTGAGGTGTTTGTGGGGGGAGCTTTTAGGCGCTCCTCGTGGGGCGCGTCACGTGATCCCGGGATGAGGTGGAGTCCGGCTTTCAGGGGGCGTCCCTGCTTATCTTCATCGATCTTTAGGATGCGAGCAGGAGAAATACCAGCAGATCTTTCCTCCTTTCTCTGCTCCCTTCCATTGCCACCCTTCCCGCTTCAATAAACAGGGGCGAAAGGACGAATCTAACTGACGGGTAAGTTTCAAGTTTACACCCTTTGAAGGGACTTTTGAGAAATCTCTCATTGATGGAGTGAAGGATGGGAGAGGAAGAAAAAGCATGCGAGAGCCCGAAATTGGCTCTGGGGAACTGAGGTGGGACGTGGGGTCCGCCGTTTCGGTTCGGGTCCCCTTGCGGGCAGGTCGCAAGATGCTCCGAAAGATCGGACAACTCCAGGACTCCTGCCTGCGGGCGTGGGGACCTGGGTAACGGGGACTGGCGGCACCCACACACCCTCCGGGAGGATGTCTGGACGGGACCCGAGCTCTTCTCTCCTCGGGTTCTCGTAAGAAGGCCGAGGGGTGGGCGGATGCCCTAGTTGGTCGTGCTCTCACCTCGCCCATCTTTCGCATTTTTCTGTAACTGGAACCTCTGCCCGGGCGGCTGCATCGGAGTTTTCGCGGAGAAACCAGAGCTAGGACGGTCTGGGGAGGGTGGGTTTGGCGGGTCGTCCGCCTTCGTCCCTCTCCGGCGGCGCGTGCCCGGCGGGGAGCCCGCGGAGGCCCCGGCTCCACCCGGGGGCTGCCGACCCCAGCGCAGACGTAGCACCTGGGACGCTGGTGGGTTCTCACCACTGGGCTGGCATCGAGCCCCATCCAGCTGTACTGGGCCCTCCCAGTCTGTCGCTAGCTACTCCCTGGTGGACGCCCTGAGCACCGTCCTCCTGTTTCCAAGTTTTCATCATGGAACTCTTTAGCTCCTTTTAGAACAGTGATGTTGGAGCCCGGCTGGGTTGGGAGATTGGGGATGGACTGGAAGCAGAGGTGGCTTAAGAGTGTTCCGTTGGTCCCCAGGTAGACTGGAGAAAGGCGCACAGTTTAAACACTGATGCTGGGCCAGAGAGAACTGAGTTTGGGCTCTGCTTGCTTGTTTTTAGTTGGTTTGGGTTTTCTGTTTTGATAGTCTCATCATCATAGATAGGCACGTTCCCTGATAGATGGATGGCAAATGTGTGAGTGTGTGTGTGTGTGTGTGTGTGTGTGTGTGTGTGTGTTGGGTGGGTCAGGAATGAGGAAAGCTGGGGGCAATTCACCTAGTTAACAATAAAGGTAAGCACCTATGCATGCCGCACAGAAAAAAGGGGAGAGGGAGGAGTGTACTTCGATTTCCCCCCCCCATCCCCATTAGGAGCACTCAGGTTTGCCATGCCCTCCTGGATCATAGGAGAAAGCATCATTCACTAGGGAGCATACAGTCAAGGGTAAGAGCATACTGTCTCTCTCTGCCTGGACAGAACAGAAAAACCATTGCTGTCAGTCCCAAGACACCAGGCTGCTTTCCTGGTGAAGCAAGAGGGAGCAGAAAGCTTTCCAGCCCAGCTCCCCACCCATGACTAAAGACCACTTGCCTTCCGGTGGGTGACTGTGGCTTTATTAGTCTTCCTCACTGTTTTAAGGCAGCTGTCTGTTGAACAAGACCTCCTCGGGGAGGAAAGAACAGGGAGTTATGTAACTCATGGGAAATAAACTCCCGGTAACTTTGGGAGGTTGCATCTAACAAGGATGGCATTTCTTTTCCAAAACAAATGAGGTGAACAGCCAATTCTGAACACATGCAAAAAATGATCCGCAGCAGGCTATGGCACGAAAGGTGGATTTTCAGGAGAACAGTGAGCAGCGAGCTGTGAAAGCCAGTGTTCTAATTGGAAAGGACAAAGAAATTTTTGTTTGGAAAGGGGCTAATTTGCCAACTAGTGATGTATGCAGTGTCTCTGTTTTGTCTGTAAATGCACGTGACAGCCATCATGAGATTTAATAAATTTTGTAGCATTTGTAGTTGCACACTGTATTTTAGAAATATATGTTAGAATACTAAATATCAAATTATTTTCCTTTGCAAAGATAATGTTTGTAAATTCTGTTAGTATCATCATTTTCTGACAATTACTCTTCCTTGAAATTATACTAAGGTAGGCTGAAAATATACATTTTATACAAATAGGGAACTGTTTTACCCAACTGGACTGACTACCCAACATGCACTGAGCAAAGGAGGCTTGCAAATAATTAAAAAAATATATAGTTTACTTTTTCTCCATAGGTAAATTAACTTAATAGGAACACTGCTATTCCTCACAGAAAATGTCTATCAAATATTATTTCAAAGGATCAGAGTAGAGTTTCGGTTTATTTACCTAAACTCATCTGCAAGAAAGCTTTCTTTGTAGCCCATACATTGTAATAATCTAATAAATGACTGCATTAATTCTCATACACATTGAATTTTGTCAAAGTTAATCAGTGGATGTAAAATTTTTATTTTTCTTCCTTTCCACTGCAAACATCTTGGTCTGCACCTTCATTCTCTCTCACCTGGATTAATGCACTAGACTCTTAATGAACCTCCCTACTTCTTTTCTTTTCTGTCTTAAGTCTGTTGAAAACAGCAGCTAGAATAATAATTCTAAAACAAGTCATGTAACTTCACTCCTTTACCACAGACTCTCCAGTGACTCCTCATCTTTCTCAGGGGAAAAGTTAGTTAGGCAGTCCAGTGGAATCCGGCCTTACACAGCCTGTTCCTCCTGTTTACCCTTTCCAATTAATATTCTACTAGTCTCTCCCTTATTTATTCCATTTCGCATTGCTGTTTAGCACACCAGGTACACTCCAGCCTTAAGGATGCTATGTTCTTTCTGTATGGGATACAGCCCCTGAGATCTTGCGTGGCTTCCTCACTCAGCACTGCATATATCATCTTCCCAGGCAGGCAGAGGCCTTCCCTCACCACCTGGTAATAAACTGCAGCTACCAACAATCCCAGTTTCTCTGCATTGCTTTATTTTTCTCCATAGCATTTACTATAACCTGTCATACTATATTATTATTATTATTATTATTATTATTATTATTATTATTTTGTCTTTCTCTGCACAAAACGAGAAACTCAATGAGAATGTCACTGCTGTCTCCACTAAAATATGCCTGACACAAAATAAGTGTTCAATAAATATTTATTGGGTGAATGAATTTTCTTTCAGAAACAGTTTCTTTTTGTAACACAAAGGAGAACATGTTTTTCTATATACCTGAACTAATAAAATTACTATTGTAATTAGCATCCATTTTGCATATAAAAGGACTAGGATAGAATTCAGCTGTTGATGTTAAGATTAACTCATGAGAGAACCTACTATTTCAACCATGAATCCACTATGTCAGCACATTTTTATTCTAAATCTAATACTTGCAAGGTGCTATGAAATACATACAGTTCATACCTTAAAGAGGTTATATGATAATTGAGAGGAGACAATTAAGGATTTAAGGGACTAAATGGTGCTTTGAAAAATGGGTAGACTTTGAAGTGTGATGAGACCGGACACCCAGCAAAAGGAATAGCAGGGGAAAAGATGCAGATGTTAACAGGCCAGGCCCACTTGGACTGTGAAGAGACTGGCCTGCCTAGAACAGAGCATCACAATGGGATTATTAGAGTAAGCAGTGAAAGACAGAAGACAGGCATAATGTAGAGCTCTTCAAGCATCAGGCTGAGGATGGACTCAGTAGTCCATACCTCATGTCACTCATACCTGGGTACTTACTTACCTGGTGGTACTTGGTGACAGGGAGCCATGAGAAGTCATAGCATAAAGAAGATGTACTTTGCTATCAAGATATTTTTACTTTACACAATGAAAACTCACAATGAACTGATAGTAATGTTCAATATGTGGATAACAACCTGAATATGAAGTATGATACAAAGTTTTCTTGAATTCTTAAGTGAGAAATTTCCAAAGAATTTTTAGATTATTACTCACTTCTCCAAGGTTTATTCTCAGATACTAGGAGACACATAGCATTCTCTCTGCCTTTGGTATTCTTTTTTTTTTTTTTTTTTTTTTTTTTTTTTTTTTTTTTTTTTTTTNTGCCACCTGTTGGCAGCTCAGTGGCTGCTCAGCTCGGGCCAGGACTCGAACCGCTGTTGCTCAGAGCTCAAACTCTTGAGCGAGCTCTTAACCAACCGAGCCACTCAGCCGGCCCTGCCTTTGATATTCTTGAGAAAAAAAGTGGGACTGCCACATAAGTTTAGGAGTCATTATAATTATAGGTTGTTGCATAGAGGAGGGGAGAACCATATTTCTCATAACATTTACACTTAATTATTCCACTACCATTTCTAGTCTTACTACTTTCATTCTCACTTACTATTAGCAACCTGTATTTTTATTCTTCTTCAGTTTCATAAATCCAAGTTGTGGTTTTATAATAAAAAATACTCCATATTCTAGAAAGCAAAAACACTCAAGGAAAGGTTCATTAGAGGCACCACTTAAAAGGCAAACGTATTGTGATTCATTAAATGCCTTACCTCCTTTTCAATGGAAGTGAATCTTCATGGTTTTCTTGATTGTTCTCACCTAAGAATTAAACACAATTTCCTTTCTTAACACAGGCACAATGGCCTGCTAATTAACAGAAGAAATCTCATCTCATATATTTACTTAGTAATCTAGGGTACATTGGAGATTTTTTTAAAAGAGTTTTTAATCTTCATAAAACTACCTCTGTAATTTGCCTTGTTGGTAAGAAAAGAGTATTCATATCAAAAAATTCTATGAAAGATCAACATGATGACTAAAATTAGGTCCCTGCCTTGTATCTAGAGGGAAGGAGGATATTTACATGAATAGAACTAACAGAACAAAGAATTAGCAATTCTTTGAAAGCTTCTGACATATTAATAAAATCATAGAATCTTACAGTTAGAGCTTCAGAATTTCTCTTATACAATACTCAAAATCTTACATGTAGTAGTGATAAACTTTTGTATAAGGATGCTTGCTAGATTTGAGGGCAATTCATTCCATTTGATTAAACCTTTGTTCCTCATAACAATGTGAAAATATTTTTTTTTAAATATACTTCCTTTGGTTCTACTTCTAACTTGCGTAGATGTATTACTTTAAGCCCAGGTCTCTATGCCACATGCTACTCAAACAGATATGAGGTGTCTGTACCATTCCTACTAAGTCTTTTCTGGGTTAAACATCTGTTCCTTCAACAGTCCTTCAGATTACAAAGTTTTTGATGTTTCACTGCATTAGTCATCTCCTTTGGAATATACTTGTGTTAAATATGTCTGCCTTAAAGAGCAGTTCAGTGTATGATGGAACTAGTACTACAACTTGACCTCCACATGAATTATTTCATTTCTATAGTAAGAGGAAGAATTAGGTAATTTTTTGTTGTTCTGCTTTGCTTGTTTCACATATATATTTCTTAGGTTTTAAGCTGTGCATTACATTTTATGTTATACATTCATATTCTTACAGTGTTTAAGAATGTGCTGATAGTACTGTTTATATACAACTTTGGGCATGAGATTTACACATGCCTTACTAATTTACAGACCACCATGTTTTGCTGAAACTCAGTGTGTAATCAAGTCCAATGAAAAATATTGTGAGATTTTTAAAAATGTTTCTGCTATTTTAAAAAGATGTTTATACAGATTTCATTTTATTTATTTCCATGTCTTCCCATTAAATAGTACTATCAGCCAGAATTCATTTTGAATGCCCTCCATAAAATTAGTAATGCAATTGGTCATTTTCTCTTTACAGATTTTTCAGTTCCAGGGAATGAAGAATTCAGAATAATTTTGATAAGTGGATTCCAATATGGGGAATAAGAATAAGCTGAACATTTGACCTGCTTTGAAGAGACATACTGTCCATTTGTGTAATCTATAACCACCAAACCAATCAAAATGAATTCAACAGTCTTTTCCCAGGTTGAAAATCATTCAATCTACTATAATTTTTCAAAGAAGAATTCCCAGTTTTTGGCTTTTGAAAATGATGACTGTCATCTGCCCTTGGCCATGATATTTACATTAGCTCTAGCTTATGGAGCTGTGATCATTCTTGGGGTCACTGGAAACCTGGCCTTGATCATAATCATCTTGAAACAAAAGGAGATGAGAAATGTGACCAACATCCTGATTGTGAACCTTTCCTTCTCAGACTTACTTGTTGCCATCATGTGTCTCCCCTTCACATTTGTCTACACATTAATGGACCACTGGGTTTTTGGTGAGGCGATGTGCAAGTTGAATCCCTTTGTGCAATGTGTTTCAATCACTGTGTCCATTTTCTCTCTGGTTCTCATTGCTGTGGAACGACATCAGCTGATAATCAACCCACGAGGGTGGAGACCAAATAATAGACACGCTTACGTGGGTATTGCTGTCATTTGGGTCCTTGCTGTTGCTTCTTCTCTACCCTTCCTGATCTACCAAGTCTTGACAGATGAACCATTCCAAAATGTCACACTCGATGCATACAAGGACAAGTACGTATGCTTTGACAAATTTCCATCGGACTCTCATAGGTTGTCTTACACCACTGTCCTCCTGGCGCTGCAGTATTTTGGCCCACTCTGTTTTATATTTATTTGCTACTTCAAGGTAAGGAAACTCCCCCCACCCCACCCCATTTGCATTTTTACCTTCTTTCCACAGAATTCTTCATTAAATGAGTGATTCTAGTTGAACTCATTTTTTTTTCTTTTCTCTATAGATATATATACGCTTGAAAAGGAGAAACAACATGATGGACAAGATGAGAGACAGTAAGTACAGGTCCAGCGAAACCAAAAGAATCAACGTCATGCTGCTGTCCATTGTGGTAGCGTTTGCCGTCTGCTGGCTGCCTCTGACCATCTTTAACACGGTGTTTGATTGGAACCATCAGATCATTGCTACGTGCAACCACAATCTCTTATTCCTGCTCTGCCACCTCACGGCAATGATATCTACCTGTGTCAACCCCATATTTTATGGATTCCTGAACAAAAATTTCCAGAGAGACTTACAGTTCTTCTTTAACTTTTGTGATTTCCGGTCTCGGGATGATGACTACGAGACAATAGCCATGTCGACCATGCACACAGATGTTTCTAAGACTTCTTTGAAGCAAGCAAGCCCAGTTGCATTTAAGAAAATCAACAACAACGATACTGAAAAAATCTGAAGCTGCTGTAGCATATAGTCTCAGCTGACATCTGTTTCAAAACAATCACAACCTACAACATACTTTCATTACCTGTTCAGCCGAGGGAGCGGGTTGAAATCATTGAAGAAAGACCAAGATGTTCTTGTCTTGCTTTTCACTGCTCTTGTGGTAGCTGTCATAATCACATTTGGAACAAAATCTACGGGCTTTGGAATCTTCTGACAATAGTTTTGACCAGACACCCTTGAAATGCTTTTTGTAAACTTATGCATATAATATAAAGCCTCTTATACTGTATTTCTTGCAATGAAATTTCTTTAAAGTATTATTATTAACTGACTTTAGAAGCATTACATCTGACACTCTCATTAGATTGGGCCATCCTGATTAGATTAGATTAGATTGAATTGTCACTGGGTAGGGCAGTCCTGATATAACGATAAGCATCATTTCAGTTTGTCAGAGAGGTGACAGCATGAAAAGGCAGCATTCAGGATGTGGAGGTAAAAGAGAGTCCGTGTCTTGCATTCCAACAGTCTAACATTATTCAAGAGTGATTTGCATTTTTAAAAAAAAAATTAAGACAGGGTTTATTTTGCTCCTAATGGATTATCACTTAAAATAAAAATGCATAAAAAATACGTCTCAGCTTTGAATAGCATGGGGAATTAAGTGGGAAAGCAGTTCCATAACTTCAAAACTATTTTGGCACCCAACAACCAAAAGGTTTTAAAGTAATTAGCTTAATCGTTAAATTAATAATGCTGCAAATAGAATTATATCTGAATTGATGGTCAAGAGATTTTCCATTTTTTACAGGCTGTCAGAGTTTGTCAAGCTTTCTAAAATAAATATACATGTAATTCAAAAGGCATTTCCAGCTTATAATGTATAAAAAACACAAAGTGTATTTTCCATACATCAGTGCCTACATAGTAACTCATTTTTAATTTTCAATGTCCATCTGTCAAAGGACACCAAGGTACAATTTTAAAAGAATGTTCACCCTGACTAGCAGGGATCAATACCTGAAAACTGGGAACTCTTCATATAGCACATGTTAATATTTATAAATTTATGTGCCTTGTGGAGTCTTGTAAATAATGCACTGTATAGAGTACTGAGTAGTTGTCATGTTAATATTTTTAATTTCATGTATCCAAAATCATGATTGAGCCTCAGAATCACTTGGAGAAAAGATATTTTGAAGAACAAGGCATATCTTTGATGTATTACACACACAAAGTATTAAATGTGTTGGATTTTAGAAAGGTAGACATTTTCTTTATTAAAATTGTTTTTTGCTTTTTCTGAGGCGTCTCCTTTGTGTCTCTCGTCAGCTTCATTTTCTTTTGTGGTTCCATGTCTTCCCTCCTGTGGCGTTCTCACAGTACCCTATATCTGCTTGCTAATGAAACGTTTTCTACAGTAGTATAACCACTGGTGGCCCAATCTCCAACCTTTGCTTTTTGAAACTTCTTAAAGGCAGGGACTGTTTTACATAACTCTATGTCCCCAGTGCATTTAGCAGAGTGCCAGGTACTTAGAAATCTTTGAAAAAAATATTTCTAAAACAAACAAATGAATACATAATGACCAAATTTCCTTTCTTCTCATTTATGATCATATGGATGTCACATCCTGAAATCTTCTTGGACTCCCCCTCTTAAGTCCATCTTTACCAAGAAGGTGTTCACTCTTTTATTATGTTATTTTCCCTACTAAATTAAACAAAAAAGGACATTGTCGATTTTATAAACTTGCATGATTCGTCTTGTAAGTCAAATGTCAAAAATTTTACATTGAATGCTAATATGAATTCAAATTATAGCCTAAGAATGACTTTTAGTTAAATTCTAAAACCAACTTTTAATGTGTATTGGAAACTACTATCATCTTTCCTCACCAAAACCTAGAATTTTAAACTACTTGATGTTTCTCTGCTTAGGGGGACTAATGGGAAATTTTGTGTTCCCTACTTAGGTGCTATGGAAACAAATTGCTACTTGAGAATGCTTCTTTGTCAGTACATTTGCTAAGATGGCCATTTCTAGGATTTTCATTCAGCTATGTAGGCTGCTGATTGCTTAGCTTCACATAAATAATGAACCGACTATCGAATTCTTTTCTTTTACCCAAAGATGTTGATGAACTAATAATAAAGTTTAGGGCCAACACACATCCACTGTAATTCAAGAAGAAATAAATGTCCATGTTAAATACAAACTATGGAACAACTAGGTTTTCTTAAATCCTAGAATAAAAATTAATTATTGGCTTAGTATAAGAGCACAGTTATAATGTAGCTTATATAAATTTAGAATAAAATGCTAATAGCTAGAATTTTTAAACACTTAGTATGTGCCAAGTACTATGCCAAGCTCTTAAGTACCTGTGAGGATGTGTAATATGGCCACTTTATGTAAGAGGAAACTCAAGCTCAAGTTGAAAATTTTGAGCTCTGCCTGAATCCCCCAAATTCTGCCTCTCTGATCTTTCCATTATTGGATCTACTCATGACCTCCATTGGCAGTCCAGACCTGCACCAACTCTAAACAAAGAGTAGATTATTTTTCAAAGCCACCCTCTGAGGTCTAACACCAATTCTTTTTTTTTTTTTCATATATTCTGCAATTTTTTATTTTTACTGGTGTTACCAAGGTCTTAACGGTGAGTGCTGTTCGAACAGAAAGGATGTCATTATTTCATTTTCTTATTTATTTATTTTTTATTATTTTTTATTATTAGTTTCAGGTGTACAGAACAATGCAATAGTTATCCTTTTCACCCCTCACAAAGTAACAACCTCCCTCCCCCCATCCACTGCCCTCCCACCCCCGATATCATACTTATCTATTACAATTCCATTGACTCCATTCCACACTATGCTCCACATCCTGTGACTATATGTATATATAATTATAGTGGACATACGATGTTACTAAACATCAGCTTCAGAAATACAGTGCAGTGGGATGGCAGAGTGGTGCATTGGTTAAGAGCTAGCTTGGGATGCCAGAGGACCCTGGTTCGGATCCCACAGATGAGGGCCAGTGACACTGCCCTCTACAGCTAAGATGCTGAACAACAGCTCAACCTGGAGCTGGGCTGCCATGAGTCGCAGCGATGGCGTAGGCTGCAGCCCCTGCTGTAGTGTGTTGCCATGGGCTACCGTGTGTGGCCAGCAGCCGCAGTGAGCAGCAGTCCAGAAGCCGGCGACTGATCTGCCTCGCCCGGGAAGAGCGCAATGATGGTGCCAACTTGGGCCAGTGAAGCAACATCCTCCACAACTAGACTGAAGAACAAAAAGACAGCAACTTGTCTGTTCCCCTTCCCGCAATTCCCCAGCACTGTTCCCATCCCCCAATTCTCTAATTAAAAAAAAAAAATCTTAAAAAAAAAAAAAGTACAGTGCGGTGGTCAGGCCTCTACACCGTCTATGAAGTGGTCTCCCTAACAAGACATGAGTCCAACTGGCCCCCTAAAAAATATTTACAACATTATTGATTATATTCCCCACACCGTCTTGTCTATCCCTGAGGCCATATTGTAGTTATCAATTTGTATTGTCTCGTCCCTTCCCCTTCTCCTTCATCCCCACCCCCTCCCAACTAGCAACCCTCAGTTTTTCCTCTGTGTCTCTGAGACTATTTCTGTTTACATTTTCATTTATTCAGTTTTTTAGATTCCATGTATAAATGAGATCATATGATATTTGTCTTTCTCTGACTGACTTATTTCACTTAACATAATGTTCTCTAGTTCCATCCATATTGTTGCAAATGGTACGATTTCCTTCTTTATAGCTGAGTAATACTCCATTGTGTAAATGTACCATAGTTTCTTAATCCAGTCATCTACTGATGGGCATTTGGTTGTTTCCAAGTCTTGGCTATTGTAAATAGTGCTGCAATGAACATAGGGATGTACATGTTTTTTTGAATTAATGTCTTGGGTTTTTCTGGATAAATGCCTAAGAGTAGAATTGCTGGGTCATAAGGTAGTTCCATTTCCAGTTTTTTGAGATACCTCCATACTGATTTCCATACTGGCTGCACCAGTCTGCAATCCCACCAAGAGTGCACCAGGGTTCCCTTTTCCCCACAACCTCGCCAGGATTTGTTGTTTGTTGATTTATTGATGATAGCCATTCTGACCAAAATGAAGTGACATCTCATTGTGGTTTTTATTTGCATCTCTCTAATGATTAGTGAGGTTGAGCATTTTCTCATATGCCTTTAGGCCATCTGTATGTCCTCTTTAGAAAAATGTTTCTTCATATCCTCTGCCCATTTTTTAATTAGGTTGTTTGTTTTTTTGGTGTTGAGTGCATGAGTGTTTTATAAATTTTGAATATTAGCCCCTCATCAGATATCTTGTTGACAAATATCTTCTACCATTCAGTAGGCTTCCTTTTTGTTTTGTTGATGGTTTCCTTTGTTGTGGAAAAATTTAAAGTTTGATGTAGTCCCATATGTTCATTTTTCTTTTACTTCCCTTGCCCACGGGGATGTATCAGTAAAAATATTGCTCAGGGTAATGTCTGCAAATTTAGACCCTATGTTTTCTTCTAGGAGTTTTATGGTTTCAGGTCTTACATTTAAGTCTTTAATCCATTTTGAATTTGTTCTTATATATGGCATAAGGAGGTGGTCCAGTTTCATTTTTTTGCATGTGTCAGTCTAATTTTCCCAGCACCATTTATTAAACAAACTATCTTTACCCCAATGTAAATTCTTGCTTCCCTTGTCATAGACTAACTGCCCGTATATGCCTGGATTGAATTCTGGGCTCTCTATTCTGTCCCATTGATCTATGTGCCTGTTTTTATGCCAGTACCATACTGTCTTGATTACTGTACCCTTGTAGTACGTTTTAATGTCTTGTAGCGTGATGCCCCTGACTTTGTTTCTCAGGATTGCCATGGCTATTCAGGATCTTTTTTGGTTCCATATAAATTTTAGGATTATATTTTCTATTTCTGTGAAAAACACCCTACATAGTTTGATAGGAATCTATATATTGCTTTAGGCAGTATGGACATTTTAATTATATTAGTTCTTCCTATCCATGAGCATGACAGGTTTTCCCATTTGTTTGCATCTTCTTTTA